CATTGTCGGCAACTTATAATAGTATTCAAACCGATAAACCCTGTTTCCCAGGATTGATTGAGAAAAACTTTACGGTAAGCAAGAGCATGAATTGAAGAATTGCTCACTCTAAATATTTGTGTTACATAATCGACTGAAGTTTTCTTCGGCCGAGAAATCCTATCGTTACACAAAATAATTTGACAAGTGCCCATGTGGACCTTCTAACGTGAATTTAAGCCGATTCTCAACAATTATGCATCACTTATTGACACACGCAGGAGTTGAAGCTGTATATAATATCACTCGTAACATTCCAGTTTGGATTTTCTCCTGTTTTTATTCCTGGTCGTCTCGTTCTCAAAAGACATTGCCATTCAACTAGTTCCTGAACTATAGTTGGTAAACAGAAAGTATAAGGACAAGTGCTAGTCTTTGAAGGAATAATTTCTGGCTCGACTTCAGACATTTATAAACGCGCATTGCATTACTTATCCTCATTCTTATAACTGTACAGCCGAAGAGTTTCTATAAATATGAAAACTGAATTATAATAATAATTGTATTTCGTGCATGGTAAAACCAAAAGATTTTCTGTACGACTTCCAAAGTATCCATTTGATTCCACGCATTAATAATATATTTATTATCTCTGATATTATTTACAATTTATTAACGTAGAGAACACCCAACTATGTATAACAGATTTGCCCAACAATTATGGCCAGAGATAATCGTATTGCCGTCAGTAAGTATAAGTATAATTGGTCATTCATTTATGTACGTAGAATTTCATTTCAAATTATAAAGCTTGTGTTGTCGTGATATTTAATCGAAAATGATAATGTCGAGCAGCTCAAATTTACCATATAAAGACTCAACTACCTTAGCGCAAGATGACAGTTCCAGATAGTTCACAGTTGCTAATCAGAGACACGGCGAATGCTTGCTTGCTAGGCTTGCTAGTATTTTTTTTCTCAATGGCAGAACTATTGAAGTGTCCTGCAAGCATGTTGAAACTTTACAACGTACGATGTATATCTGACAAGTCTTTGTCCCTCCAAGTGTTGTTGCGTGAACGATTGCAGGAAACAGAATAGGTATTTCAGTGGACACGAGAAAATTGGATTTCCTCTTGCTTGAAATTCTATTAAATTTCTTGATGGGGTGTTAGGTGATTTATAGGAAACCACTTGGTTAGCAAAGTATATTCTATTCCGGAATATGGCATTGCGCAATTCACGAAAGCTTGGGTAGCGTCTTGACTCTTTGTCAATCCATCAATCATTCAGACGAGAGTGTGTGCCAATACTGCTTCTGGTGGGCATTACCACGGGGCAGCTCGGATTCTCAGCAACCCGCCATCGCGAATGACTTGAATATATTATTAATACAATTGAAAAGGCAAAAAGATCGCACCGACAAAGGTTGAGAAAGCCGAACTTTGTCGTTTAAGACAGAAAAATTTTACTCACAAATTCAGAATTGGTAAATTAACAGTCTCAAAGATACTTAAAACCAATTATATTGGTGATTAATTGATCTCAAGCCAAACTAAACAAAGCTGCTTAGCTAAGTTTCCTATATCCGAAAAAGCACTTAGTTTTTGGATCTCGAAATTAAATCATCAAACTCTCACTGGCGGTATGTTCAATGTAAAGCTTTTCAGTTTGCTGAGCGGCTACATATGAATTGGAGGGATGACTCGAGAATTTTAAGAAACGGATTTAAGACTGGATAATTTTAATACTAATCTGGCATCGATTTATCGTAAGCCAACCGAAGAATTTCTTAATTTGACGATACTGCAGATCTATTCAATCCCTTATTGGCCAACTGCCTGTCAATACGCCATTTACTCGAGCCATTTACTAGAGTTGGATACACTTGTACGACTAATGTTCAAGCCATTCATCTGTTGCCCAAATAGACCAAGTGTACTAATGTTCAAGCCATTCATCTGTTGCCCAAATAGACCAAGTGTATTAACGCATTGCTTTAAGCATTCGAGTGACAAAATCTGTACGTTTTAGCTGAAAGTAAGGAAAGACAAATGAACGAGTTTCGGTCATTTTTTGCTCTTGATGCAACTCACAGCGCATCGAGTATACTCCACCTTCAACGCTTAGCGATCACTAATTTCGTCCTCCACGACCATAGTCCAGCAATCTATCTTCCGCTGCTTCTTTTAATTACTGCCCTACAAGAAGTTGCAAGCTGTTACCTTTTGTCCAAACCAACTTTGCAAGAATATGACATTGACACAGTTATAGCTTGACTCGCGAGTTTGGGCTATGATGTCGACGAATGATTGGCCTTTTTGTATTACTAAATTCCCTGACTAAAGAGTTCGTGCAACGAGGCGAAACCTAAATGTTTTGAGTAGTCGACCGATTTCTACGATTGATTTAGGGTATCGGTTATCGTTAGATAACTGTACAAAAAAGTTAGAAACAGTCATCGTTGTCACTCACATTTCCCTCGTAAACCAATTAATTGCTATCCAATATTTTTATTCTTGTCGTGGTTTATAAGACCGGTAAAAGTACCATACTCAAGCGACACATAGTGCATGCAAAGCACCATTCTAATTATCCTGTGCTGCGGTTGAGAGCTATCTTGCTTAACTAACGAATTTACCGGTTTTTTTTTTCATTCAGTCTCCTTTTTTTCGGAGTACGCTGGCTGCTCAAATCTTACCAATAAAGTAGTGTTATCTGAATCATCATCCATCACAGAAAATGTGGTTAGAATGCGCGCGCGTTTATATCGTTATTATGCCTCACGACATTCTAAAATAGGAAGATTTTGGCGTATTTGATTGGGAATGATAGCGATCACGTGAATAATTGATTGTTATTAGTATTAGTATGGGTCATTCGGGAAAGAATTGGTTTGAGTCAGGAAGTACGTATGCGTTTTTCAGGAACCAACTCATTACCACTTTAATAATATATTCTGTGCCACTATTCCGGCAAAGGCAACTAACAATAAACGAATACAATTTATTTCGATAGTTTTTAATATTAACTCATATTGACATATTTAATTTATTTAATTGGAAGAGAAGTTAAACTCTTGAGTAAATCCATATAAAATTGTAAATAAATTTAATACTACTGAATTACTTCGAAGTCGGATTTACCGACTTTTCTACATAAAATACTTCTTTTTTGTGAAAACGAATGACATGGCAATTAAATCCTAGTACTAATCTCTCCTCCTTTGGACTACAAAAGATAAGAATATCTTTATCATAATATTTGCTAAATAATTATATATTTAGTATAGCCATGTAAATATGTTAAAAGTAAATAAAATAATAAAAAACAACAACAATGGTAAGCATCACAAAAATGAACTCGAGCAGAGAATAAAGAATTGCTAGAAGAAAACAAAAAGTAAAGAAACAGTTAGCTGATATAAGAAGAGAATTTAAACTAAAAATTTGAAATGCAGTTCACAGTCTTACTGAAAGTCTGGAATATTCTGATACTGCTTTAAGAACTTTAGAAAGCTTTACAAGGGTCAAGTAAGTGGAAATGGAGTGAGAAGCTGAAGAGGCCCTGAATGCAGCTAAGAAAGTGCCAAATTAAGATGTCTGAAACAGTGTTAAAGTACAATGCTGCAACGGGCAAGTTTATAAATTGAATAAATTGATTATGATTAGAAAATAGTTTGTTAAATAAAGTTAAGAAATAAGCAGAAGAGATTATTTAGCAACAAAAGAATTACCAGCTTTACCTAAAAACAAAAAAAAAGGTAGTTTATGCAAACTCAAAATTTTTAGTAAGTAAAGCCAAAGAAAGACAAAGGAGAAGTTCCAGTCTTTTATTATTCAAAAAAAATATTAATATAGAATTTGGTGGAAATAGTGAAGGGTGATAAGAGAGTAAATAGATTTTGACAATTAAGATTCTTTGCTTCAAGTTTTTATTTCTTTTTGATTTATCATAAGTTGGGATTAAGGTGTGTTTATTATTATTAATTATAAATTTACTCTGTTGGTAAATTTCATAAGTAATTTTTTCTTTATCTAAATAATTGGTTTTAAAAATGTATGGAGCAAGTTTTTCTCATTGTCCTTTTTTCAGAATGCTTCTAATGGTGCTGTAATTTTTGGGTTCCATGGTGGATTTAATGTAAATGAGTTGCATATTCAATTTTTTTATAGTAATAGAGATAAGCCTATTACTATTACTATATTAATATTAATATTAATTAGAATGATTGTTAGTAAGCAACTACGCCAGTTTCAATTAAATTTCAGTCATATCTAAATTATTATTACGTCTGAGCCACAGCCCTTTTCAAAACGATAATTTTTTAGTCCCATCAGCTTCTAATTTACGTCACAAAGCAGAAAGTTCACTTTGTCTGATTTTGTTGCAGTCTGCCCCATTTTACGTGTTTCCACCAAACTTAGCCGTTCATAATAACAAATTGCCAATTCAAAAGTACAAATACTAAATTGTTGGGAAAAAATTGCCAACACTTCCTACAACGAATTTACAAAGATGCGACTACAAGTGTTGCCTTCAGTCCAACAAATTGTGATACAGAGTATAGATAGAATACACGTGAAAGGCGTGGCGCAAAATAAAGGTATTGCCTGTCACACTTATGTCGAATTTGCGGACTGGCCGTCCAACGATTTGACCTCAAAGCCTCTGAATTGTCGTTAACGGGATAGGGATGTCAAATGATTGAGATGATTAAACGTTTTAAAAAGTAACGTATATTTTGGAATCTATGTCAATTAATTATCACTTAACAAGAGGAAGGAGTCTCTTTTCATCTGCATCGCGTTTGGTAAACGAGGATGCCTCCCCAATTTTAATCAAAGAGTATTACATTTATGAAATGCCCATAAACATACTGATACTCGAAATATGCTTTTGAAATATGGGAGAGAGAATATCATGAGTACAAAGAAATTCGTAATAATGCATTATGTTATATAAACTATTGATGTGTATATATATAAGTTAGTTTACTTTCTACTTTTGTGCATCGTCTTGTTATTCGACAGTGACCTGAAAAGCGAAAAAGGAATTAATAAGATTTATTGCTAAGCAAATAATAGTCAAGAATTACAGCACGCAGATATATTATAGTACTTACAGATTTAGCCAAGTTCCTTGGACAATCTACATCGACTCCATGCAACACTGCCAAATGATACGAGAGCAGCTGTAATGGTATAATGGCAAGAATACCCTGAAGACAATCGACGGTTTGCGGTATCGTGATAGTCTTGTAATTCTTGGATAATTCGTCATCGCCTTCGTTACAGATGATGATGGGCTGACCCTTTCGAGCCGTAACTTGCTGAAGAGCGCTTTGTACTTTCTATAATAGATAAACAAGATGATAACATGTTGTAAGCAATAATATACAATAACCGAATATAAGACTGTTCCATAATAACTATCTCTACCATAGATGCTATTAATTAAACATACCGGATACAAGGAATCCTTTGTCATAATAAGAATCACAGGCATATTCTCATCGACGAGAGCCAGTGGACCATGTTTCAATTCGCCAGCCAAGATACCCTCGGAGTGCATATAAGATACTTCCTTAATTTTCAAGGCACCTTCCAAGCAAGTAGCATTTTGCATACCACGTCCCATAATTAGCAAACTCTTCTCCTTGTAGAGCACATCGTTAGCCAATTTTTTCAATCCTTGATCCATGTTCAAAACTTCCTTGATATAGTCTGGCAACTTCTTCAACTCGTCAATGATTTCGTTTCGCCTCTGTGTCATAGACGTCCTATCTTCACTCAACTGAATGGCCATCATAACCAAAGCAATGAACTGCGAGGTATACGCTTTGGTAGAAGCAACACCGATTTCGGGACCAGCGTTGATGTGGACACCGCATTGAGTCTCGCGAGAAATAGTTGAACCGACAGTATTGGTAATACCAAGACAAAGAGCACCGCGTTCAAGACAATATCGCAAGGCAAGAATGGTATCTGCTGTTTCACCTGATTGTGATACAAAGACGCAAACATCGTCACGGAAGATTGGTGTTTTACGATCAAGAAAGTCACTCGCTAACTCGACCGAGACTGGAATTTCCGTAAGTTCTTCAAATATTGCACGAGTCTATTTAATAGTTGAAAGAGATAAAGCAAGTCGATTGGTCGAATAAATAACATTGTTACGTAAGTTTGCAATTGATATATGCAATGCCAGAAACTTACCGCCAGACAAGAATGATAACTGGTACCACAAGCACAAAAGACTATACGTTTGCATCGACGAATAGTCTGCAAGTAAGCCTTAAGACCACCTAGAGTAACTTTATGGGTTTCAAAGTTAACACGACCACGCATAGTGTTCACAACGGAATCGGTCTGCTCATAGATTTCCTTTTGCATAAAGTGATCAAATTTGCCCTTCATGATTTCGTTAATTTCAATTTCTAGAGTCTCGATGGAACGGACTGCTGAGATGCCATCGTCACGTCTGAGACGGTGAATATGGAGTTCTAAAATAAAACAAGGCACGTGGACGATTGAGAATTGATGAAATCAATTGGGATCGTTCGTTGTTGTATCTATCTCAATGTTAACTTGATCCTTGTCATACCTCCGTCACTGATGTGAGCAATGTCGTCATCTTCAAGATAAAGCACACGCTTTGTATGCTCGACAATAGCAGATGGGTCAGATGCAAGGAAGAATTCGATTGGTTGGGGCATTCCATCCTCACTAAGGAAAGTTCGCGACTGACTGCGGCGAAGTCTTGATGCATCCGGTGGAGCTAAAAGATTCGTTTCTACCTTCTCGTCTGCAGACCGGGGAGAAGGGAATTGAAACATGACCAAGAAAAACACGATAATATATCAGTATGAAAAAGATCCTACAAGATTTGCAATGCACGTATTGGAACGTCTTGCTAACCTGAAGCAAATTCCACGTCAACAAAATCAACTTTTAATTTCTTTTCAGTCTTAACGCCAACCAACAGGGGAGAACCACGGCGCGTGGCGACAATTTCGTTAGGGAAATGTGTACTCTTAAAGATAAGAGCGAATGCGCCTTCCTATAGAATCATGGTATTGTTAACAGTCCGTCAAAATTTCTCAATGAAACCTCGATTTATAGAAAAGCCATCAACAAAACTAACCAATTCTTTGACTACGGCCTTAACCAAAGCTGTGAAAGTCAAATTATTGTTGCCACGCTCATCATACAGATACTTTGCGAGTTTAGCAACAGCCTCGGTATCAGTCTCGGATTCGAATATGTATCCTTTTTTCTCGAGGACTAACTTGAGTTCCCGGTAGTTTGTAATGATGCCGTTGTGAACCACGCTGAATTCGGCTTTAGAGTCAGAACGATGGGGATGGGAATTTGTTGGAGATGGTTGTCCGTGAGTGGCCCAGCGAGTATGAGCCATACCACAGTGACTGATGAAAGGTCGTTCCAAATCTATGCTTTGTTCAGATACGAGCTTCTTTAGTGCGGCTACTTTCCCGACTTGCTTGTATATAAAGACCTCGTCTGTTTCGTCGCCATCAATTGCAAGACCCGCAGAGTCATAGCCGCGATATTCAAGACGTGCTAGACCAGCTATGAGAGTCTCTATGATGTGTTTTCGGTCTTTTTCGAGAAGATAGTTGAGATAGGCGAAGATTCCACACATTTTTGATCTGTGTTTGGATAAGTTGATGAAATTGATACGCAAATGATTATCCCACTGAAAGGAGAGGAACTACGAGGGTGATGGGGTCGTAGGGTTTATAAAGATTTTTTTGGAGAAGCACTTAGCAAGGGGGCTTTGCACCTATCAGATGACGGTAAAAAAAAAAGAATAGCAGAGTTCCTTATTGTTACACTTAAGAGGAGTATGTGCAGTGCATTATGCGCTCTCGCTAATGAAAGGTGCGCGTCTCGAACTCCAATGTGTATCCTGCATCCGAATGTAGGAGAAAACACGTTGATTCGAAACTTTAGTACTTGAGTAATTGGTTCTTTATTATTATTATTATTTAAGAAGTTGTTGGAACAATAAAATAACTAAAAAAGAAGAATTCACATAAGTTGATGCAACCAGTATTAACAGCCGCCCACCATTCAACTACAACGATAGATGCATCTATTTATAGTGAAAAAATACGCTAATTCCGATAACGTAGAGAGACTATTTCAAATATGGGCCGAGCAAGATTTGCAAATAAATAATGGTTATATCAAGATCTGGGCGGGAAAACAAGGGGAGAAAAGCCAAGAGTTAGATATTACCTTTCATTGTTCTAAACCGTTATCAGATTAAATCTCACAGCTCACACAGCCACACATCAAAGCGTTTGGGGGATGGCAGTGCCGCAAATCAGTGTGTGCTCATCGGCCAATCGCTAAACCAGATACGTACAGCAGGTATTTTAATTAAAGTGAACAAATATAATAAATATCTATACTTAATTCCATTTCGGGAATGCGCGGGAGTACAAAAGTCAACTTCGATAAGGATAAATGATAGTAATGAGGTAAATAAGAATGTTTACGACCCGTTCTGAATTTGACTTGTTCAGAGAACGGATCACCCCCAATTTAAAATCCTGAATAGGTGATCTACCAATGTATTTTGATAATCATTTCTGCTAACAGGGTCGTTATATATTGTTTAATAAGAAAGATTATTAGAGTGGGGCTGGATAATTGTCTTTCCTGCGGTAGTAAATGAGTATTAAATATTCCCAAGCTAAACCCAGTTTATATATCATCTCCTTCCCTACCGCTTTATTTATCGTTCCTCATTCCGCAATGTAACTTACGTCAGCGATATGTTATCATGTACTACACTTTCCACGAACGCGTTGTACTCCCTGGCCTATTTGAGGGAAACATTCTCATGGTTAGTTTACGTATTGTTACTGCAGTAAAAAAATTACATTCTTGGGGTTGGTCCACCCCGATTTCCGGATTTTTTGAATGGGTTCAAATTAGAAAAGCAATCATAATTACAATAACTATAACAAGTATCTTGAGTAGAGAGGCTTGACAATAAGGGAATATCTTATTCGTCATAGAATAAGACATTTATGGTTTGTTTTATCTTATCTAATCCGGAAATAATAGATGGTTCATGCGGTGTATTCGGAACTTCTTTTTCCAAATACAGTCGATGCCCATCAACGTAACAGGAGACCCAAAATACTACGTCTCGAATAAACACTTTTTTCCGAGACTTTATGGTCGTACAGCATATTCTGCATATGGAGTAGCCATTCATCAAATCATCGTCAATTATAACTAACACAGATGGACTAATTTGACTAGCGTGTAAAGTGTTGGAAAAAAGTGTCGAAATTATATTGACTATAATTCGAAAACCTTACTATTCGGATAATTTACAACCGCGATGCTACAACTTGAAGTTATCTTCTGACCCAACAGTTTTATCTGTGAAAAGTCATATGCTCGTTTTACACATAGATCAGTATTTAGGATTACAAACAATATTACGCAGGATGGTTGAAAAGTAAAGCGAATAGTAGACCTGCGCACTAACACGCAATCGATTTGCAAAACTCTCCGCTACCAAAAACAAATGCTAAATCTCTCGCTAGTGAAAATCTGCAGTGACACTTGTCAAAAGTTTGTTGCAGAAAGTGATGCAACTTATCCTGAGTTTAACCACTTGAGCATGGACAACAATTACATCGAAACGTTTATGAAGATGCTGTGACTATACAGAAAGTTTCTTTATAAGTTCAATAGTAATTAGTTCTCAAACATAAAGAGGTTTTATATTGTGCTTACAGAAAGGCTAATAACACATCGTTAAATTTATTACTGTGTTGGATTGCAACAAGTAGATATAAAAGTAAACCGCGTATGGAAATTAATGTTTAGCCCAAGCAGTTTATGTGCTGCACATCCATATATTTACCTCACGCGATAACTTAAAGATATGGTTCCGTATTAGTAGTAAAAGAGTTCCCGCGACGCCGCCAATAAACAAGACAAATCGATTCAAATAAAATAAATCATCATAGATAGTTTTGAATGCTGTTAATGCTAACAAGCGATCACGACAAGATGAACTACTTTATAACTTGCCTTAACGCCAGATTTGTTTATTATTATAGGCGCTGCGATATAAAGTATGATCTGTGTGTGTGATGTAACACAATAAACCATTGAGAATTAGAACACTCCGTGCGTGGTTGTACTTGCAACTTTATTCAAACCAGGTCGTTCTTCGCATCTCAAACCAGGTCGTTCACATCAAGCACTGCTAAAGCAATTAATGACCTGGTTCAATCCTCCTGGGAAGGCGGAAATACTTGCTTCGAACTTAAATGGATTTATGACTTGGAGTCAACCGACTGGGAGTCAACAACCATAAAGATGATAGAGCCAACTCAAACTGACAGCGTCTAGCGCTCACCTGCACGGGAATACGGTAACATTGGTACTCCTTGGAAACGGCAATGAATATACCCCGACACTTGTGAGTGAGTTTGCTAGAATACACTCACTTCCAACACACAAGTACAAAAATGATGTCAGTCACTATAGACGATATTCCAAATGGCTAGAGAGTCGCAACAAACTCATAAATGGGTTCACCAAACATAATGGCAACTATTACATGGTTGCTGAGAGAGGCTTCCATCATTTTTACTCTCAGTATGGATTCTGCCCTGTATGTGGAATGCTTCGATGTAGCCCCGTGTGGTGCATTTGTGGTCATAAAGAATTATCGGATGGATGGAGCAGTAACAATAAACAACTCGACGACTTAATCAAGAAATCTCAATTACAAACCGACTCACCGAATGATGCCTATTTGGAATGGATTCCAATTGATTTTATTAAAAGGCAATATAATAACACGTATTACTTGAGTGGTCTACCTACTGATGCACACATTGAAATAATTTCCCTTGAGATAACGGGCGAGACACATGATTTATATTATGCTAAGGTAAACTATTTACTTATGCGTCACGTTTATCAAATATTTTAAATATTTATGACTTATCATTTCCACTAGTTATGCGATAAGAATCCAGATATTCTTTACACTAATGTTTGGGATACCATCGGATTCACAGCAAGCGGACAACACTATTATTTGATAAAAGAGCATGGTGGACATGGGTTATGTCTGGGTTGTACACGGGCATTCGAGCCAACGAGAAATGCATTCTGCTTCGAATGTAAAGCACCGAAACGTTGTGATTGGACTACGGGCAACAAATCATTGGATTCATTTATTATGGAATCATGGAAGAACACAAAGGATAAGGATGATGCGTATATACAATGGATTGAATGCTCTCTATTGACCAACGTACAAGAGATGGCATCATTACACCACAGATGCACACATATAGCGGACTGGTTAGAACCGACAACGAATGAATTGACACGTGTAGCGCTCAGAAAGATGACTGGCAAACAAAACGCTCAGTCATTTGATTTTCATCAGGTAAATATTTCAACAATGTATAAGTGTGTACTGCGTAGTTACGTTGTAATGACGGTATTTGTTTACTGAAATAGGTAACCGAGGAATTCCCTGAAATTTTAACACCAGAGAACGTTTGGATAATTGGGATTACTCAGGAGCCGTCTACTCGGGAATATTATTTAGTGTTTTACCATGAAATACGTCAGATATTGGACAAAATTATGAAAAGTTGCCAACATTTAAAGTATATGCAGTATAGCGACTTTTACGACTTCAAAGAGATTGGATCTGGTAGTTATAAAACAGTTTATGCTGCCAGATATGGTAACCAACCTCCAATTGTTGCCATCGAACGATTTAAGAGTTTTGATGGAATGCCGGATTTATTTATTTCCGCGGTAAGCGACAATAATAATTGGCCGTATCAATTACGGTGACATTTATTTGATGCTATAATTATTTTATTTAATAGTTCAGAAATCATGCCAAGTGCATAAACGATCGTCGTATATTCTCGTTCTCTGAGGTTTCCTACCGTCACCTTTATGGAGTCACACAAGATCCAGAAACAAAAGAATACATGACTGTTACGGAATATGCTGATAGTGGTAATCTTTTGGATGCAAATATTAACCGCTTGCCGTGGGAGGATAAGGTGTTGTGTTTGAGGGGGATTGCGGCGGAACTGAGAGTTATTCATAGAGTGGGATTAGTGCATTGTAATCTGCATGGCAGAAATATAGGTTTGCGAAATAGAACATTAACATTCATATGTGATTTGAGTCTTTCACGGTCAGTGGATTCACGTCGGCGAAACTCAACAGTTCGAGGAGACGTTTTACCATTTATTGCACCGGAAGTCTTTCATACTCACAAATTTACTCAGCAATCAGATGTGTATTCTTTGGGCATCATTATGTATATGATTGCTACCGGTGAACAACCTTTTCGAGATAGACAGTTCGATAAAGATTTAATATACGATATTATGAGCGGACTACGGCCATCGATGCCTGATTCCGCACCAGAGAAATACAAGAAACTTGCCGAGCGGTGTTGTGATGCTGATCCTGATAAGCGTCCTGATGTGGATGAACTTGTGCAGCTTGTTGACAGTATACGGCAAGATTTAGTGTTTGCGGTTAGGAATCCAGCAATTGGTTTCTGGCCGGGGGTAACATTAACATTGCGCCCGTTTAAAGAATTCTCGCCGGCTGATA